ATCTTGAACATGTTCGTTCGAGATTGGAAGCCAGTAAAGCAAATCTAAAGGAAAAGACAGGAATACGCTGGTTGAAACTGGAGTGGAGTAATTATGGGGAAATATACAGCGCCAATGAGGAGGAGGTTCTAGAAGGTCTTCAGCCTCACACAAATCTAAAAGGTTTATCCATTGAGGGTTACATGGGAAAGGGCTTTCCGCCATGGATGATGAGTGGTGGTGCTATATTTTTGTCCAATAATCTGGTAGAGTTGGAATTACATGGTTGGCATAATTGTGAACATATTCCTAGTTTGGGACTTTTACCTAGTCTCAAGTCACTTCATATTGATGGTTTTAAAAATGTAAAAAGAATGGGTCACAAGTTTGATCCCACCAAAAGTAATAGTCCAGGAGGAGTAGAATCAATCAAACTGTTCCCAGCTTTGAGGGAACTCAGCTTAAACAGCCTGCTAGGCTTAGAGGAATGGATTGAAGTAGACGATGATGATATAGCAGCAGGAGGGAAAGTCGAGATTGTGTTTCCTTGCCTTGAGATTTTGAAAATTGACTATTGTCCTCGGTTGGAAATTTATTGGCAGATGGATGGATTTTCATCTCATCATAAGTTGTCTCATTTGGAGATTAGCCAATGTTACAAACTGATGGATATCCCAAGTATGAATGGGCTCTCATCTCTTCAACTTTTGAGAATTGAAAAATGCTTTAATCTATGGAGCATTTCGGGGGAGTGCCTACGCTACCTCGCTGGCTTAAAGAAGTTAAAGATGGGTTATTTCTGCGATGAATTGGAGGAATTCCCAGGACTCAGTTACATCCATCAGCTAAACTCCTCCCTTGAATCTTTAATATTACGTGGATGGGATAAAGTCAAGTCTTTGCTAGATCAACTGCAACATCTCACTGCCTTGAAAGAATTGACTCTTTCAAATTTCAACGGAGTGGAAGCTTTTCCAGAAGGGTTAGGAAACCTCAGTTCTCTTCAACGACTTCACATTTTTTAATGCGGAAATCTAAAGCATCTGTTTCCACTCCAAGCCCTAAAATCCCTTATTGAGTTAAGGATGGGTCCTTTCAGCTCAGATTTGGAGGAGTTCCCAAGACTTGATTGCATCCTTCACTTTCATGCTTCCCTCAAAGATTTAACATTGACAGGATGGGATAAAATAAAGTTTCTGTCAGATCAGCTTCAACATCTCACTGCCCTCAAGTCATTGACTCTAGAAAAATTCAACAGAGTGGAAGTTTTACCAGACTGGTTGGGAAACCTCTCTTCTCTTGAAGAGCTGCACATTAAAGAATGTCCTAATTTAAAGAAAATATGCATAAAATATCTAGTTTTCTGTTTGAATGTTAATCAAAAGTTTGAGCTATGAATCAATTCAATTTCAGGTTTGAAGCTCCTGGTTTCTTTGTACTTGCGACTTTGCTTGTATCTGGAGAAAGTGTTATGAGGAGGAGATAAGATTGTGATGGTTTTCTCAAACCAGACGATTTAGGCTGTGATTCTTCTTTTCAGTGCCTACTATCACAAGCATGATTGAGTCACACTCACCATGTATAAAATTCAAGACTGTTTGTGTGAACATCTTTTAATTTTGTAGGCTTGGCCCAATTAGGACTTTGTTTAGCAATAATTAAGCATGTGATTGTAAGGAAGTAGTACATATTGCACTTACCGGCGCATGTTTGAGTGATTTAAGAACAAATATTGTAATTTTTTCATGAATCAGTGTACCTCAATATATCTTCAATTGAGTAAATACACCAAGTAAATTTATGTTTCTCTTGACTCTGACGAGACTATATTTTTGTTGTTTCTACAAATTTTTTGGATTAAGTCGGCATATTTGAGACTACTAACTAATCATTGATAAATCATTACATGACAGGAGATTAGTGATATTAACTCAAATGTATGCCACTAATTATTAAAATGTGATTTCTTTTCTTAATTTCAAAAGCAATTATTAACGTCAATATGATATTTTTTCCTCCCTTTTATGGATATGAATAATTGAATATAATATTTTCCTATTTTAGGAGCAACATTTTAACTATTTCATGGCCCAAAAAAAAAAAAAACATTTTAACTATTTCTTTGTTTACTTGCCAAAAATTTCCTATTTCTATGTCTTTGTATCTAATTTTTCAGATTTTCCTTTTGTTTTTTTTTTTTAAGTAAAGTAATAACCATTTTCATTATTTAATTGTTAATTATATTTTTAATTAGTTGGTTGTCATTGAAAGTTCGTCAGGCCAAATATTGAGGACCCAGAAATAAAAACCTGGAAAGTGAAATAAATTTTCAGAAAAGAGTGAAGCAGAAGCAGAGAAAAGGGCAGATAATGATGGTGAAATGCGCCACAGCCCCTCCCGGCGAAGTTCAGCTCTTCCAAACTCTCACTGATCTTGAAAAACTGGCCGAAACCTGTCGTTTCAAGGTACCTACCCCCAATTGTTGTTTCTCAAATCTACATTCTGGTTTCTGATTTCTTCCCATATATTTGTCTATTGAATGTTTTTTAACTGTTGAAATGTTCAATTTTGAGCACAAATAATTTTGCCTGAACCAGAAACCTAATTTTTTTTGTTAGCTGGTGAAATTTTGATCTTTTGCCATTGCACTAAAGAAAGGCCTTTTATCAATGAAATTGAAAATTTTTAGTCTAAGAACAAAATTGACTCAAAGGGACGGGCAACTATCCTTACTCGAACATCACAAAAAGAAAATGCTTAACGAATTGCCTAATATTTAAGCAAAATCTTGCTTTTATCTCGCAAAAATTTTACTTTATTTATAGGATTGCCCCTTGTTGGGATAGTAATCTAACTAGTCCATAAACAAAATAAAGGCTCATAAAGTCCAAATACAGAGGAGCACGCCCATGAGTCACAATGAAGCTCATATACACTTAAATGGATCCAAAGGGACCAATAGAAATCCAACACATGTAAAGCACTTTCAAAAGACCTATAAATACTCCTACACCCCTAAAAGGTGAGGACTTTTTGGAGAACTCTTCTCTCTCTATTATATTTCTCTCTTTAAAGAGAGCCCCAAGTATAAAATATTGTTAATTTGGACGTCGAAGTGTCTACCCCGAGAAACAACCCTCGGGTCTGTTTTGCAGGTCTCTATGCTGATCAACTTGTGTCAACTAGATTTTGTGAAGCTGCCCAAACATTTGGTGTTATCTGTGGGAACTCGAACAAAAAGCTTTATTTCTATGTTGATCCGGTTGATCGGAGGGAGGAGAAGATGTGTGAAAGGCTCGTGACTTATTCTCTTGAGTTGCAGATGGTTGCAGAAGTAGATCTGGTGAATTTATAAAATGGGTTTATTAATCTATGAAAAAGAGAAGCTTCACCTGCAAAAAGAGAAGTTTTCACAAGAAGACAAACAAGGGGTTAGCTTTGCACAACTATCTAAGTTCTACCAAATGAAATAAAAGCACACATGGTGCAATATCAACCACGAATATTCAAAAAGAAAAAGGGGTGTCAGCAAAGCACAAGCTTAAGGCAACTCAAAGTGGTAAAAAAAAAAAAATAGTAATAATAAATAAAAAGAAATGGTTAGCACGGGAGCACGAAAGTAGCGACCATGATGAGACAAGACGAGCTCAAGCTTAATGGTAGCGACAAAGCAGCCGCCCAACTCGTCAGTGCCAAAGTAGTCCCCTAGCTTGGCAGCGACGAAGCAGCTTCCCAGCTTGGCAAAGCTGTCACCCAGCTCGGTAGGGACAAGGCAGTCCAGCTCGTTAATGACAAAGCAATCCCTCAGCTCGGCAGCAACGAAGCAGCCCCCTAACTCGGTAAAGAAGTCACACAGCTCGACAGTGACAAAGTAGTCCCCTAGCTTGGCAGCGACGAAGCAGCTTCCCAGCTCGACAAGCTGTCGCCCAGCTCGACAGTGACAAAGCTGTCACCCGAATTGGCAGCACCAAAGCAGTCCAGCTCGACAGTGGCAAAGCTCAAAGCAGTGCTCCAGCTCGGCAGCAGCATGACAACCCAGCTCAGCAGCACCAAAGCAGTCTAGCTCGGCAGTGGCAAAGCTCAAAGCAGTGCTCCAGCTAGGCAGAAGCAAGGCAGTCCAGCTCGTCAGCTCGGCAAATATGAGCATTCTCCTAGGTCGGCATCTTGGCAGCACCGGAGCTTAGGACCATGAAAGTTCTTAGAAAAATAAGCTCACAAATGAGGCGCCCTCAATGAGACAAGATGAGCCTGAGCTTGATAATGGTGGCAAAACAGTCGCCCAGCTGAGCAGCAACAATAGTCCCCTAGCTCGGCTGTGGCAAAGCGATCTCCTAGCTCATCACCATGTTCCAAGCAACTTTGCAAAGAAGCTCGTTAAGGAAGACGCGAGCAATTGACAAAATATGATGATGGTTAGCCTGTACTTGCAACAAATTAACAGCACTTTATGAAACCAACGGGAAGACGCAGGTTTCGACCGCAACAAGTTGGGATCTTCCTCCTTTTTGAATTTGTTCTTGCAGAAGCCAAGAGATGAGTCCCTGACCAGGCAGCTTGCCAGTATGAAAATCTCTATGAGCTGCATCTTGCTCAAACATGAGCTCACGAGCTGCTGAGCTCAAAGGCATGATGCAGAACTCCAGCGCAAGCTGCCGAGCTCAAAAGCATGATGAACTCGAGCACGATCTGCCGAGTACGAGATGCTGACCTGCAAGCATCCTACCTGAGGTCGAGCTAAAAGATGTGGAGCACGAGCTGCATGCAATCTGCTCGAGCACGAGCTGCAGAGATGCAAATATCCTACCCAAGGTCGACCTGAAAGATGTGCAGCATGAATCGCAAAGGGTCAACACCCTCAACAATGTGTCGACACCTTTTCTGCATCAGTGCCAAAGAGTTCGTGTCGGGTTTTTGTCCTTCTTTGCAAATTCTGTTAACGGTAAAATTACAGTCCCGATCCCTTACTTATAGATTCTGCACAATTTAATCCTCAAATTTCATATCTTTGCAATTTATTTTTAAAAAATTATGATTTCTCCCAATTAAGTTCTTTCCAGCACAAAAAAATGAAAATTATGTAAATTAAATAAAATTTCATAAAACTCATCCAATATCAATAATATCAAGGCATAAATTTTACATTAATATGTATGAAGTACACTTTCTTGATTGTAAGATTGGATGCCTTTGATTTCTCCTTTTTGCAAGTCCTTGTGATACAAGTTGTCAAGAAAGCAATCAAGTTCCGTAGCAAACTAGAGCTTTGGTCCGAGCTTGGTCCAACCTTATATTAAAATTTATTATTAATTGCTTTCTGTATTTCTTGCATTTGTTCTACATTTTTTCCATTCATTATGCACTTGTTTTTGCATTCATGATATCATTTTGTCATCTCATTTTTTATATATATCATAATCACTCTATTTTGCTCATT